TTTGGGGGGGGGGGGGGTGCTCTTTCTCCCAAAAAATCCCAGGCGATGAGAATTTCAACACTCCTTCGGTCCCTGAGAGTTTGGGGATGTAGGCTTTAGGCTTCGGGTTTAGGGATGTCGAACGCTTGAACCGAAGAAGCCGCAGTTGCAACTACTGAAAGCGCCGCCATGCGTCCTCATCTACCTCCGGCTTGCATCCTGCCAATCCAAGAATCTCAGAAAGGCGCTTCTCATCGTGTGCTGTCGTCAACACTTCCCCAAGGGGCGACACGAAAGCCAGCCTTTTCGAGAGGAGTGGTCGCAGACCCGGCACCATCAACTTCCTTGCATCCCTCCAGCTCGTGCCAGGTTGCACAGCAACCTTTGAAATTGTCTCCCCTGTGAGCTTCCGCAGAACCAGCCGAAGGACAGTGTCTTCTTCTTCTTCGTACATCAGCTGCACAAGCGTGGTGTTCCACACCTGCAGCATGTACTGCCAGGTCTTGCGTTTTCCGGTGGTGTAACTGTACCAAACGATGCGACCTGGTACTGTGGGGTCCAAAAAGAGATCGGAAAGAGTATCTGGTTCTGTAGTGATGTCTTTGAGGTACAAAGGAAGAAGTTGGATCCTTCCTTCTGGGCCCCGCTGGATCTCAAACTCACGCCGATCGTCCTTCATCGGGTTGTTCACCACAGTCAAAAAATGCAGCACGGGGTCTTCCGGAGTTGTGACGATATAGATGTTGCCCGTCTCCAACTCCTTCCACCTGCCGAACAAACTCATCGGAACCACCCCCCCTCAGTCAGAATTGCCGCCTCAGAATAGAAGTGGATGAGAAAAAGGTACGAGAGCTCGAACCAAGACTCATCGGAGCAAATCTGCAGAGTCACACGCGCAAGCAGACACCTTTCGGGTTTTAAGGGCTTATCGAGGCTTCAGGTGTTCTCGGCCCAAGGCATCATCTCGAATAGGTAGGCTGCCTAGCTGCTCCCGACCCTTGAAATCTACGGAAACCCCTAACCCTAAGCCTTCCTTATCTCCTAAACCAAACCCTAAGCCGTTCTTTAACCCTAAACCTTAAACCCCAAGCTCTAAACAACCTAAACTCTACAGGTAACTTATTCTTCTAAGGCGATACTGTCGCTGCTTTCTTCGCCTAGAAGACCCGGGTTCAGACGTACCTACTACGACTCTCCCCAGGATCCGAGTGTACTACGAATATGGAGTTAGGCCCAGTACTGTTGATGATCTAAATCCTGCATTACCTTGAGGACCCTAAACTATGGGAATTATGGTCTATTCCTTATTATGGGGTAATGCAGGAGTTATATCAGCAGCCGTATTGCCCAAACCCTAAGCCCTAAGCCCTAATCACCAAACCCTAATCAAGCAAGGATCGATCCTCAAAGCCCCAAGCCCTAAACCCTAAAGCCGTAAAGCCCTAAAACCCCAAACCCTAAAACTCCTAAACCCTAGACCCCGAAGCCCTACAGGCCTAAAGCCCTATTCCCTAATCCTTAAACCCTAAGCCCTAAACTCTAAAGCCCTAATCCTTTAACCCTAAGCCCTAAACCCTCAATCCTAAACCCTAAAACCCCTAAGCCCCAAAACCTTAAACCCGAAANNCCTCAACCCCTAGAGCCCTAAAGCCCGAAGTCCCCAAAAGCAGCGAGAGACGCCCCTGCGGAACTTTCCGGCTTACTTCCCCAGTACCCAAGACGAGAGCAGGACAAACTTTCAGAGTAAGGTTTATGGTTTAGGGTTTAG